TGTAGCGCATCTCTGGCATTAATCGGTGTGGATGGTGTTGGTGCGGAAGCCGTTTGATGTTCAAGCGTCGGGGTCACCACTTTGGCACATCAAAAAGGCCAATTTTATTTGCTTACACCCAGAAAAAAGATTTTCCTAAAATTTTAGGAATTGACTATTTATTGCCAAAAAAATTTATTTTAGGCAATAATTACCTTAAAAATCGGTCTTATTGCCTAAAAAAATATATTTTTAGATCACATACTTTTAGGAATAGTAGGCCTAAATTTTAGGTAATATTCCTAAAATTATAATCAATGATTTTATTATGCTATGCTATTAATATAAATTACTGTGCTAGGTAATAATGCACCCCATGTGTTCGAACACTACACACAGTTTTTATAAATATTTTTTATAATACATTACTTTGTTTTAAATGGTTTTTTGTTTGAAAATAATGCAATATATATATAGTTATTAAAGAAGGAACACCAAAAACATAGGATTTTTAAGCTTAATATTTTTATACCCTTGCAGAGGGTATTATGATTTCAGTCAGAAGTTTGCAACGCAGTGAAGGAGACGTTTCCGACCCCATAAAGTATATATATTCTTGATCAGCATCACTAGACGAGTCGATCTAGCCATGTCCGTCTGTCCGTCTGTCCGTCCGTCTGTCTGTCTGTCTGTCCGTCCGTTTCTACGCAAACTAGTCTCTCAGTTTTGAAGCTATCGCGATGAAACTTTCCCAAAAGTCTTCTTTCTATTGCAGGTAGTATATAAGTCGGAACCAACCGGATCGGACAACTATATCTTATAGCTCCCATAGGAAGGATCGAAAAAAAAACGGAAAAAAAATTATAGCTCCGATGTTTTTTGAAATATTACCTTCTACTCTTGGGAGTATTTTTCTTTTTAAATTTCTGAATTTCGATTTTTTATACCCTTGCAGAGGGTATTATGATTTCAGTCAGAAGTTTGCAACGCAGTGAAGGAGACGTTTCCGACCCCATAAAGTATATATATTCTTGATCAGCATCACAAGACGAGTCAATCTAGCCATGTCCGTCTGTCCGTCTGTCCGTCCGTCTGTCCATCTGTCCGTCTGTCCGTCTGTCTGTTTCTACGCAAACTAGTCTCTCAGTTTTTGAGCTATCGGGATGAAACTTTCCCAAAAGTCTTCTTTCTATTGCAGGTAGTATATATGTCGGAGCCGACCGGATCGGACAACTATATCTTATAGCTCCCATAGGAACAATCGGAAAAAAAACTTTAAAAAATTCTAGCTTCGGTGTTTTTTGAAATATTACCTTCTACTTTTGGGGATGTTATTTTTTTTTAAATATTTCTGAATTTCGAATTAATTATTTAAAAAATCGGACTACTATATCATATAGCTGCCATAGGAACGATCGGAAAATTAATGGAAAAGTAATAGGAAATAAATTCTAGCTTCTTTGGTTTTTATTGTATTATCTTCTACTCTAAGATATAACTCTTTTTAAATATTTTCGAATTTCAATTTTAATTTGATCAAAATCGGACGACTATATCATATAGCTGCCATAGGAACGATCGGAAAATGAATGAGAAATATTAGAAAATTGAACATTTTTGCGATTTGTTAATTAATAGGAATGATCTGCAAGGGTATATAAGCTTCGGCTGGCCGAAGCTAGCTTCCTTTCTTGTTTAGAATAATATTGACATTCAACTTAATAAACCTTATAAATAAAAGTATACCAGCTGCTACTAAAACCATAAGCGTGATGCGTGAAATATCGATACGTACAACTTAATGGGAGAATGTAAGGGTATTCTTTAAACTGTTGAAAATTCAACAGAAAATTTCAGCAATTAGGGGATTGATTTAAAATGGTTCTTTTGAATTTTAAGACAGCTTTTATTATGAAATAAAATTGTTCAAATTGTTACTAAGGTAAAATTAACTACAAATATGCTTTCTAAATTGATTTTAAAGTAAATAATACGTACTGGTGATACTCAAATGTTAGAGAGTTGGCATGTCTTTTAATAAAAAAGGTGACTACTCTGGTTTTCAACAATCCTGGTCCTAGTCCTGGTTCTAGTCAGGATACTTTGATTGGTTTTTTTTATTTTTGAAATACAGTCACATTGTTTTCTCCGCGTTTGGTGTGTAATATTGTGAAGTTTTGTTAAACAGGTAAGTTTATTATATTTTGTTCTTTGAATTGGTGAGAATTGGTTATTGTGTCATTCAGTTTCATACTTCTTGTTCACCGGCCTCAAAATAATCAGGCATTATATGATTTTGTTAGATGAAACGCTAACTCGCAAAATGTTTAAATGACAATGAGACAGCGTTTTTTATACCCTTGCAGAGGGTATTATGATTTCAGTCAGAAGTTTGCAACGCATTGAAGGAGACATTTCCGACCCCATAAAGTATATATATTCTTGATCAGCATCACAAGACGAGTCGATCTAGCCATGTCCGTCTGTCCGTCTGTCCGTCCGTCTGTCCGTCCGTTTCTACGCAAACTAGTCTCTCAGTTTTAAAGCTATCGGGATGAAACTTTCGTAAAAGTCGTATTTCCATTGCAGGTAGTATATATGTCGGAACCAACCGGATCGGACAACTATATCTTATAGCTCCCATAGGAAGGATCAAAAAAAAAAAAAGTAAAAAAATTCTAGCTCCGGTGTTTTTTGAAATTTTACCTTCTACTCTTGGGAATATTTATACCCGTTACTCGTAGAGTAAAAGGGTATACTAGATTCGTGCAAAAGTATGTAACAGCTAGAAGGAAGCGTTTCCGATCCCATAAAGTATATATATTCTTGATCAGGGTCACTAGCCGAGTCGATCTAGCCATGTCCGTCTGTCCGTCTGTCCGTCTGTCCGTCTGTATGAACGCTGAGATCTCAGAAACTACAAAAGCTAGAAGGTTGAGATTTCCCACACATATTCTTTGGCTTCCTACGCAGCGCAAGTTTATTTTAGCCGAGCGCCACGCCCCCTCTAACGCCCACAATCGCCCACTAACGATTTTAAAATGGGTCCTGCGCCCACATCTTTAAAGATTTCCTAGAAGTATAAATGCAATTTTGTTGTGTATATTTATACCTATCGAAATGTAGAAGACATTTTTCAAATCGGACCATTCATTAAAAAGTTATACGCTTTATAAATTGTCAACATATATCTATCTCCCTCGCACTCCCTTTAGCTGAGTAACGGGTATTAGATAGTCGGGACACCAACCCGACTATAGCGTTCTCTCTTGTTTTTTTATATATTTCTGAATTTCGGTTTTTTTGTTTTTTAAATCGGATCACTATATCATATAGCTGCCATAGGAACGGTCGAAAAATTAAATGGAAATTAATGGGAAAAAAATTATATCTTTGTTGGTTTTTATTACATTCCCTTCTACTCTGGGATATGACTATTTTGAAATGTTTTCGAATTTCGATTTTAATTTTTAAAAGATCGAACTACTATATCATATAGCTGTGATAGAAACGATCGAAAAATTAATGTGAAATAATAAGAAATTTAACATTTTTGCGATTTGTAAATTAATAGAATGATCTGCAAGGGTATATAAGCTTCGGCTTGCCGAAGCTAGCTTCCTTTCTTGTTTTTTTTTCGTTTTCCTTAGTAATGGAAGAGTTTTTGGCAAAACACAATTGTTCGGAGCTTATTGGCTGCTTCAAAGGTGGTACAAATCTAATTCGTTAAAAAATAGTTAATTTAATTTTTTGTCGAATAGATTACGGAATAGACGAGCAAGCGTTACTCCTCTTAACCCCAGAACACCTTAAAGAGATTGTGCCAAAAAATTTGTTTGGGGCAAGAGTTAAGCTGGAGCATGCCCTCAGGATGGTTAATGTAATTCTATTGTTATTTGATTTTGAAAGGAAATCACATTTAAATATTTTTCAGAAAGAAAATGTGCAATGTGGCGACCATAATCAGGTGACTTTAAAATGATTTGTTCCGAAAAATAGTTAATATAGTTTATATCTTATAACTAAAATTTGTTTATTAACCTATTTAAAACATTTAGATTACAGCTTTGTTAATTCTGTCAGATTCCATATTGTTTAAAGGAATACAAAACTTTTATCGCATGCACAAGCGTTTGGAGCTAAAACATCGCAAATCCATTAGTGGAATTATTTGCGATTATTTAATAAGCAACAAGAGAGAACGCTATAGTCGGGTTGTTGTCCCGACTATCTAATACCCGTCACTCAGCTAAAGGGAGTGCGAACGCTGTGTCGGGTTGGTGTTCCGACTAATAATCGTAACTCAGCTAAGGGGAGTGCGAGGGAGATAGATATATAATTTTTGATTGCGTATAACTTTTTAATGAATGGTCCGATTTGAAAAATGTCTTCTACATTTCGATAGGTATAAATATACACAACAAAATTGCATTTATACTTCTCGGAAATCTTTAAAGATGTGGGCGCAGGACCCATTTTAAAATCGTTAGTGGGCGATTGTGGGCGTTAGAGGGGGCGTGGCGCTCGGCTAAAATAAACTTGCGCTGCGTAGGAAGCCAAAGAATATGTGTGGGAAATCTCAACCTTCTAGCTTTTGTAGTTTCTGAGATCTCAGCGTTCATACAGACGGACAGACAGACAGACAGACAGACAGACAGACAGACAGACGGACAGACGGACAGACGGACAGACGGACATGGCTAGATCTACTCGGCTAGTGACCCTGATCAAGAATATATATACTTTATGGGGTCGGAAACGCTTCCTTCTAGCTGTTACATACTTTTGCACGAATCTAGTATACCCTTTTACTCTACGAGTAACGGGTATAAAAATATAGATTGGCAACCCAAGAAATTCGAAAAGATTGCTAAAGATATCACATATCTTTTCCCGACAGAAGTAGAAGGTTAGATATTAAATTAGAGATTAAAAGACAACTGTAATAATAATTAAACTACAAAATATTTATAGGAGACATATTACCTCCCTATAAAAAACAAGAGAGCTGGAGGACTGCTGTACAGTAAGTACAGAAATTCATTAGCAAAGGCTAGATTATCTGTGGAAGAAGCATATGTTGACAATTTAGAAATTGATGCAGCTGATAGAGGTAATTGTGTTTCTACGAGTGAAATAATATGCAACTAAGATAATTTAAATATATGTATGTAGATGCCGAAGAATCCGACTATGGTTTTAACTGGCTACTTTGCAACAGTGATGGAACTGCGGACTTAGATGAAGTCTTTCCTCACTGGGAGAGTTCCTATAAAAACAGGTCTCAAATGCTCTCAAATTCAGACAATCTCGACAACGTTCTTAAGGAATGGCCAATACTTAAACAATCTTTTGGATTTAAATTGGTAAAAATCAAAAATTTCTTTCAAGTTTTCATATTTTCATAAAATTTTTGTTTAGATTAATTTTGATTTCAAACGGAAGTTCCCGGAAAAAGAATCGTTTCTTTTTGACAAATTTTTGACCTTTAAAGAGAAGTGCCTTCGAACTGCTGAGGGCCGAGTGAAAGAGTCGTTCAGCAATCAAATCCTAAAGTCTATCCATGGAGCTTCAGAAGGTAAATATATTCAGAAATTAATTTGAAAAGAGTTCAAATTATTTTCTTATATTTGAATTTTACAGAGTCTGTCAACGCTGGAATTTTTTTGATCATTCACGCGCTTTTAGTACCAACTGCGCGGCGGTCTCGCAGTACTCGCAACACTGCAAAAAAAATTTGCTCTAAGATCACCATCGCTGACTCTAGGAAGTCCTTCTTTGTAAGCTTCCCTACTGTCGGAGAGCTTATGTCTTACATCAAGACTCGGATAGACAACCTTTTTACCGAAAAGTGCACCTTGCAGCCTATAGTGTGCGGTATAGGACCTTCAGATTTGGAATGCAAGGAGTTCTTCGTTTACTTCGCCGACATATACTATAAGTTTGATAGCATTCTTAAAGCCACCTTCAAGATTTTTATGGTGTTAAATTTAAAATACCCCTTAGAGTCTAAGCTCGTGTGGTTGTTCGTACAGAACTATTTTTTTGATATACAGATCCCATCGGATGAAAAAAGTGCTTGCATTATATCATTAATCAATGATTTAAATACTGCAGCTTAAATTTGTTTATTATATCTCAATAAAAAAGACACAATGGAGCCCACTTTTTTTTGTAAGTTTTGCAGCATAACTTTAGAAAAGATGTCTTTATTTCTTAAACATATCAACGATAATCATAAATTTGAATTAAGCTTTTCGTGCGGTTTTGCCCAATGCTCTCAGTTATTTTCAACAATAATTCACTTAAAAAAACACATGAAAAATGAAGAAAAAAATTGGCACAAAATCCTATTGAGCAAACAATGAATACAGTATAATGACTTAAGTAACAGCACTGAAAGCCGGCAATTTCTAGGTGACTTTACTTCAATTCCTTTGTGTCACCAAGAGATAGATCCAATTAATCCCGGAGCGAGTACTTTACAAGAATCCGCTTTTAAATTGACTTTAAGTTCGTATGGAGACATGGGATTGCCAAGAAAAAGAGCAACGGAATTACAAGAAAACATACAGAGAAATTTAACACATCCTATTAAAAATGAATTAAAGCACATATTAAACAAGATCAAGGGAAATCAAGAAGCAGAAGCTGCCATATCAGATTTAATCACCTTTTGTAATAACCCGTTTAAAAAGATTAATTCTGAACATTTACTTATTCAAAAGCTTAAAAGTCTTAGCCTATGGTTTCCTGCAAGTAGAATAACTATTGATAAATCAATAAGACCCATACGGAAAAAAAAAAGCTTAGTCTTAGTTCAAGCAAAGCTGAAGGAGTGATATTTCCAATAAAGCTCTATTTAAAAAGTTATTTCGAAATACCAACTGTTTTCGATGACTTTATAAAACATTTTAATCTTTTAGGACAAACTCAATCATTAAAAAATTTTATAAACGGAAACATTTGGAATCGTCGCTATCCACACGCAACAGACATAGTCCGTTTACCGATTTTTTTGTACTTCGATAATTTCGAAACAAACAATCCCTTGGGAAACCATACGTTGCCCATTTTAGCTTCATATATATCATTACCGACAGCACCGCCTAATTATAAAGAAATATTTATAGCAGCCTTGTTTGAATCAAAGAATGTTAAAGAATTTGGAAACGATCGAATATTTTACAAGTTTGTTGAAGTCATAAATGATCTTAACGACAATGGAATATTTGTAACTACTTTACAAGGAAATAAACGAATGCTCTTTAGCTTAGACTTAATAATAGGTGATAATTTGGCTCTAAACTACGTTCTTGGCTTTTCCAGATCCTTTTCGAGTACTTATTTTTGCAGATTTTGCAAAATGCGAAAGGAAGATACTCATTATTCTTTTTTAGCTGATCCCTCACTTTTGAGATCAACAGATAATTATAATCAGGATTGTGAAGAATGCAATGTGACAGTATCAGGGGTGCGAGAAAATTCAATTTTTAATAAAATTCACAATTTTTCTATTTTGGATAATTATTCCACGGATTTACTACATGACGTTTTTGAGGGAATACTAAACTACGATATATGTCATATTCTTTTGTATTTTATAAATGAAAAGATATTTGATTTAGAGTTTTTTAACATTCGTAAGCAATCCTTTCAATATGGAGAGTCAGAAATTGGCAACACTTCAAGTTCCATTAATATTAATCATTTAAAAAATTTTAAGCTTAAAATGTCTGCAAGGGAAATGCTAGCATTAGTTCATCACTTTCCTCTTATGATTGCAGATAAGATTCCCTATGAAAACAGGGTATGGACATTTTTTCTTAATTTGTCAGAGCTTTTGGACCTTCTTTGCCTTTTTGAATACAAACCAGCCGATATTGCAAACTTACAAAACCACATAATTCTCCACAACAAGCAATATACCAAATTATTCAATGACACACTCAAACCGAAGCATCATTTCTTAAATCATTATCCGCAAATAGTAAAAATGTCTGGTCCTTTAAGATATCTTTGGACCTTTGCTTTTGAATCGAAGCATCGTGAACTGAAGTCGTACTGTAAAAATATAAATAGTCGAAAAAACTTGACTTATTCCATATCAGTAAAACACAACTTTAATTTTGCCAATAAGATTTTAAATTTTTCAAAAACAGAATTAAAGTTTAGCAAATCTTCAAGCCTTTTTGAAAACTCTATTCATAGTGAAACTTTTCAAGCTACTTTTCCCGATATAGACTTCTCTACAGCACGAAGTTTTTTATATGTATCCAAATATGGCTTCTGTTATAAACGTGGCTTTTTAATTTTTTTAAAAAAAGGATTGTGTTCTTTTTTTATTATTAATGATATAATATTACTTAATAAAAACACGTATTTATTTTGTCAACAATTGGAGACCCATTATGAAAAACATTATAATAGCTATGAAATTAGTGATAAGCTCGATTTTAAATTAATTAATATAAGCGCAGTACATAATCCCCCTGTACACATCCATAATATAAATTCGAAATCATATGTAAAACCTAAGTTTTTTTAGTTTAAGTAATGTGTACATATTCATAATTTATAGTTTATATTGTTTTATAGTTTAAGTAACATGTAAATAATAAATAAAAAAAATACTTATTTTCGTGTTTCATTGGATATGGGAACCTAAATCTATGCCGATTTGATATTGCCTAAAAATGTTTTTATTTAGGATATACATCGCCTAAAAAATAATAAATTTTAGACAATCATTGCCCAAAACTAACCCTATTTTATACTGCCTAAAAATCCCGATTAAGGCAATTTTATTGCCTAAAAATGACATTGCCTAAAAGTCCTGTTTTAGGCAATTTTATTGCCTAAAAATTATATTGCCTAAAATCCCGATTTAGGCAATTTTATTGCCTAAAAATGACATTGCCTAAAAGTCCTGTTTTAGGCAATTTTATTGCCTAAAAATTATATTGCCTAAAAATCCCGTTTTAGGCAATTTTATTGCCTAAAAATTATATTGCCTAAAATTTAGGCAAAAAATTCCTTGGGTCATTTTTTAGGTCAAATGACCTTAAATTTCAGGCAAATTTTTGACTTTTTAGGCAATGTTTTTTTCTGGGTGTATATATATGATGGACGTTGATGCACTACGAGAAGTACAAACAAGTGACCCAACGACACCAAGCACGTGCTTGTTACGCGCGGGGCCCTTTTGTAAATTTGGGCAAAAATGCGAGTTCGCGAGGAAGAATACATAAAACCAATAAAGACGGGACAAATAATGAAAAAAACATACAGTTAGGAGTGAAGCAAATGAGTTAAAATGTTAGTTTTTAATACCGGGATAGAAGTTGATGTGCAAGTTAAATGATAAAGAACGTTATAGTTATCACTATGGACGGCAGTCCATGTAGTGACGAAGCGCACCAGGAGAGTGTGCGAAGGCGACTACTATTATATAGCCGCAAAATTGAAAATCTGCTGTGATAGTCCGATCGTAATGAGTAATACACCAATCGAAAGGTATTGCAATAACTTAAAGGATTGCATACCAAGACTTTAAGAAAATCAATTGGCTTGGGAGAGAGAGCGGTGAAAGTGAAAAAATGAAAATTTCGAAATTTGGAGCTGTTGGGGCCGGTGGGGATAAATGCCCCCTCGCAATGTTTTAGTTGTATTCCTTTTGAAAATACCCGTCAAATGAGGGGTCATTTGTCAAAATCCGACGCTCCGTTCAAAAGTTATAGCCAAAATAAGATTTCCTTCTTCTTCCCAAAATGAAAATTTAATTCTGTTTGTCAGTTTGTCAGTTTGTCAGTTTGTCCAAAACATGTTTCTTAAGTTTTGAAAATTTAATATGACGTTCATCCCATCGATATAAAAAACTTTTGTTCTACCACTTTTGGAAAAACTCGCTAGTTTAGCGGGAAAACAGCTATAAATAGCTAAAATTCGGAAAACCGTAACTTCTATACTACTAAAGCTACAGACTTGTGCTGCATCTTGTTTGAAAGGTATTTTTAAAAGCTATAAACGCCTTCTATATGCAATTTGTGTAAATGTAATAATTAAAAAGATATGAACAAAAGACAATTTTTTAAAACTTTTTTTTAGCTTTTTTTATTTTTCTCAAAAACGGCTCTAACGATTTTCTTGAAAACTTTAAACTGTATAGCCCTTGAGATTCCTTAAATTTTGGTATATAACACATTACTGTAAAAAGTCACGTTTAAAAGTTATTTTTATACGAAAATAGCCACTTTTGCCAGCTCGAACAACTAAAGCTTCCTGAGTATTGAATTTTGTGTGAGGGTATCCGAACTGTATTTTAGGGTCATGGAATCAGTAAATTTGCACTTAAGAGTTCCATATAGGAATCTTTTGTTCTACGACTTTTGGAAAAAGCCGCTACTTTAGCGGGAAAAAAGCTAAAAATGGCTAAATTTCGTTAGTTTGTAAGTTCTACACTACTAAAGGTACAGACATGTGCCATACCTCGTTTAAAAGGTATTTTGAAATACTTTTTAACTTAATTTGTTTAAATACAATGGCTTACAAATTATGATTGACCAATTTAAATTTAAATGTATATATTAGCTCCTATGAGAGCAAATGTAAACAAACAAAAACTTCTGATATCAAATAAAAACACCTCTTAACGAGGTAAAAAACTAGTGACGATCGCACCTTCAACATACAAAAGTTCTGATATCAACATTTGTGACGAAAAATTATTACACTCGTCATTAAATAGACTTTCTAATATTTTTTTATTCGGCACGCTGCAATAGAAAATGCCTGTGAAGGGAAAAAGGCTGGAATAGTCTGCTAGGGCGGGCCGAATGAGAAAAGATTAGAAAGTCTATTTAATGACGAGTGTAATAATTTTTCGTCACAAATGTTGATATCAGAACTTTTGT